AGAGGCCAAATGCCATGTTGGTTTGGACTTTATTTGAAAAGCCACAGAGAGTCATAAAGGCCTTTGGTCTGATTTACATTTTGGTTGATGGCTCTGCCACCAGAATCCCACACACTGGCAGTGGGAGGGTATATGATAAAATCACTTCAGAAAACTGTTTGATTACATCTACTAAAGCTGAATAGTCACCTCCTTCATGACCAAGCAATTCTGTTTCTGGATAAATAGCTCCAAACTGGAGACCAGCCAAATGCCCATATTAGTAGAATGGATGGATTGTGGTGTAGTCAGATCATGGAATATTACAGAGCCACGAAAAAGAGCAAATGTCCCTACCTGCAACAACATGGATGGATCACACAAACTTAATATTGAAGCAAAGGAGAAAATACAGAAGAAGACACACTGTCTGATTCCGTTTACATGAAGTTAGAACAGGCAAAACTACTCTGTGGTGACAGAAATCAGAATAACAAGGGGGGAGGGCCTAGCTCAGTGGGAGAGCATGTGCTTAGCATGCACGATGTCTGGGGTTCAATCCCCAGTACCTCTATGTTTTAAAAAAATCAAGATAATGGTTATCCTTAGACAAGGAGGCAGGGGCTGGAGGGGAACATGAGGTAGCATCTCTTAGGGCTGGGAATGTCCTATTTTTGATCTGGTGCTGGTAAAACAGGAGTATTTCTTTCATTAAGATTTATCAAGCTGTATGCTTACGATGCATATGCTTTGCAGTATATTGGTTATGCTCCCCCCAAAAAGGATTTTTTTTAGTTAAAAAACCAAAGATGGCTATGGCCACTTTGAGGAGAAAGGATGGGGAGAGGCTTCTATTTTCTCATTGAATCAAGAGGTAGGGGTGGAAGGTCAGATGTCGCCAGTGCTGGACCTGGCTCCTAGGGCACTCAGCCCTTCCTAGCACTATGTTCAGTGACATCACATTGGCTGGAAATCATCCATGGCAGGAGTATTTACATCATGGAACTTGGCAGAGGCTACAATATCAGGGCATTTTTGATTTTTAATTACGAGCCAGTTTAACATAGAAAACAAACTGATGGTTACCAAAGGGGAAGGGGGTGCAAAGGGATAAATTAGGAGTATGGTATTAACAGAATTAAACTAATTAAGAAAAAAGAGCCCGTTTACGCACCACTCATGACACCTCTGGCTGTAGATAACGAGATGGGTGTGGCCAGGGCATGTTCTCAACCATCTCTATTTGTGCTGTGTCATGCCAGCCCTGAATAGAAACCTGAGGACAAAGAGCTGAACAAGACTCACAGAGAAGGCCTCGGCCAAGTTCATAGACTGCTGGGGGGAAGAAACAATTCAATCTACTCAACAAAAGAAGAAAATATCTAGCAGGTGTTCCAGGAGAGTTTGGCTTTGGGTAATTTCTGAGTTTTGCAGGATGAATAGGAGTTTTCCATAAGAGTAGGTGGGCAGGCCAGGCAGAGGGAAGAGCCTGTGTAAAGCCTTGGAGTTTTTGAAAGGTATGTCAGGTTCTTCGAACTGTAACTCAAGTGGATTGCTGAGGCTGTGAACTGGTCCAAACCAGCCCAAAGAGGTGCTTTAAGAACTATTTGGACAGACTGCCAAGATCTAAATAGTTAGCGGTTTTGGTTTGGTATAAAAATCCAGACTTCTGGGGGTGGTCATAGCTCAGCGGTAGAGCTCATGCTGAGCGTGCATGAGGTCCTGGGTTCAATCCCAAGTCCCTTCATTAAAAACAAACAAACAAAAATTAAAAATCCAGATTTCTGGCTTTTTTACAAAAATCAGCACAGCTGGGGAACTCTGGGCCTGCATTCTCACAAAACATGATGGAAATGTGTTCTCCGGTTCTCCATAGTCCCCACCACTCCCCCTTCTCTGCCAACACAGTGGCCAAGGGCCCATTCCCATTTTACCGTCTCACTCACAGCATTTGCTACTTTCCTTACAGTAGAGCAAGATCTAGCCTTACACATGTCTCCATTTCAAAAGGAAAAGTTTTTACAGAATGGGAAAGGAGATGGGGGAGGGATAAATTAGGGGTTTGGAATTAGCAGATACAAACTGTTATACATAAAATAGATAAACAACAAGGACCTACTGTGTAGCATGGGGGACTCTATTCAATAGCCTATAATAAAGCATAATGGGAAAGAATCTCAAAAAGGACATGTATATGTATGTTTAACGGAATCACTTTGATGTACACCGGAAACTCACACAATATTGTACATTGACTATACTTCAATTAAATAAATAAATAAAAAGGGAAAAATTTTAAAGTCCAGGGCGACTACACCCTCGACTGGCTTTGCCCTTTGTCTTTCCTGCCTAGCGGCTTCTGTAGATGTTTGAGTTTGTCATCCCTGGTGCAGCATCGGGACGTGAAGCTGGGTCACAGCGGTTTTATGTGCCAGCTCAGAAGTGTGGGTTTTGTCCTTTAGGCTACGGGAAACAATTGAAAAATTTCTATTCAATTATTCAACTAATAGTTTGGAGCAGAAGCTATTGATGCCCCATTCATATCCCTCCGGCCTTACCATTTCAACAGGCTCCTGCTGCCGTCCAGCTGCTGCTGTCTGCAGCAGCTCTTGGCCGGAGGGCTTTCTCCAAAGCTTTGGAAGGCTTCTCTGCCCTGAGGATGGCGGGCTGGGAGCGCCAGGGATGATCTCCCTCCCCCAGGATCGCCCCGCAACCTGATGAGAGTTGGCGGAAAAATGGGCCACCTTCTTCACCTCCACTGCCTCCCAGAGGGTCCCTGGCACGACTGAGCTTCAGTCGTGCACAGTGATCACTGGTTGGATGACACACCCATCACCAGCTGTTTCCCTCTCCTGCTCCCCCACTGGCATTTCCTGGGGTCACCTCCTAGACAAACTATTTGCCTTTGAACCATTATCTCAGGCTCTGCTTCTGAGAAACCCAAGCAAAAATCTAGTTCTTAAGCAGATGTTCTGTGCTGGGGAACAAAGAGGACAGTTTTTGCTTTGGGGGAACTTATACTGTAGCTGTAGACGAGAGAGCCCACAAATAAGGAAATACATACATATTAGGTGACTATATGAGAAGAGAATAAAATACCACAGGGTGTGGGGGTGTTTTTTATTTGCATGTTTTGTTGAAGTCTAGTCAGTTTACAGTGTTGCGTCAATTTCTGGTGCACAGCATAGTGTTTCATTCAAACATATACACACATAGATTCGTTTTCACATTCTTTTTCATTATAGGTTACTACGAGACATTGACTATAGTTCCCTGTGCTGTACGGTAGAAACTTGTTGATCTATTTTATATATAGTAGTTAGTATCTGCAAATCTTGAATGCCCAATTTATCCCTTCCCACCCCTTTCCCCTCCAGTAACCATAAATTTGTTCCCTATGTCTGTAAGTCTTGTGGTGATTTTAAAATATGTCCCCTCACTCCCATTTCACCCCTGGATGAAGGTAGTCAAAATGTACAAACTACTAGTTATAAGATAAATAATTCCTGGGTGTGGAATCTCCAGCACAGTGACCAGAGTCAACAATAACATATTGTATACTTGAAAGCTGCTAAGAGAGTAGATCTTGAAAGTTCCCCCTCACACACACACACACACACACACACACACACACTACTTTTTAACTTGTGTGGTGATGGATGTTAGCTAAATTATTGTGGTCACAATACCTGGGTTGCTTACGGCATTTGGATGTGGGGGCAGGGGCACATAACACCCCACACTGTGACAACTCGTCACAGATCATGAAGGACTGTCCTGCCAAACATGCCCAGATCAAGGCTTAGGAGAATTTTGAGCAGGGCAGCCCCATGATCCTAGTTATTCTTTTAAAAGGTTTATCTGTGCAGAACAGAATGTAATGTCTACTACCTTATTTGAAAAAAAAAGAGGAGGGGACAGAAAAATCGGAAAATATATTCATGTGCATAAAGACATTACTGAAAAAGACATGTGCCTCTGACAATAGTGAGCATCTGTGGGGGGCTGCAAAGTGGGCCAGCGGGGGCTTGGGGTGAGAAAGGAGAGCTTTCAAAGAACTCCTCTTTGTATATTTAAACGTTTTGAACATGTGAACATATTACTGATCAGATAAATAATTAGAAATCAGTAAATCGATTACCTCAATAACAATTTTTTTTGAAGATTAAAAAAAAGGGCTCAAAAAGGATAATTTTGGCAAGGAAGAATTCAAAGAGGATGAGGGCGGGGGTAATTGTGAGTTGGAATAGTGGGGGCCTTGGGAGGTCAGCTTGGAGCTGGTAAGGGGTGGGGTTCAGTTTCGGGCTGGCGTTCAAGCTGGTGTGTGAATAGCTGGCTTTGCGTAGGAAGGTGACCATCTTATTAGGCTAGGTTCCCTGCTGTCCTGGTCAGTTCAGGCTGCTATAACAAAATACTGTAGATGGGGTGGCTTAAACGACAGACATTTATTTCTCACAGTTCTGGAGGCTGGGAAGTCCAAGATCAAGGTGCTGGCAGATTCAGTTCCTGGTGAAGGCTCTCCTCCTGGCTAGCAGAGGGCTGCCATCTCCCTGGGTCCTCACATGGCAGAGGGAAAGGGAGTGGGAGAGGGGGAAAGGGAGGTGGAGGGGAATAGAGAGGGAGAAAGAGAAAGAGAGAGACAGCAAGGGAACTCTGGTCTCTTTTTCTTCTAAGGACACTAATCTGATCGCAGGGGCCCCACACTCATGGTCGTATCGAAACCTAACCACCTCCCAAAGGCCCCACCTCTGATTACCATCCCATTGCAGGTTAGGGCTTCAACATATGACTTTGGTGGAGGGACGCATATATACAATCCAGTCCATAGCATCTGCCTAGAAGCAGAACCTGAATGAGGACTTGGATGCCTAAAGTTGGGGTGGGGGGAGGACTCTCAGGAGAGAGAGAGAGAGAGAAGCAGGATGTGACAGAGGAAGGGGCTCAGGCAGGATGTGGGTTCAGCTGGGTCCAGCTCCAGCCTGATCCCAGGGAGGGCGGGGAGCTCTGCAGTGAGAATTGCATCATTCAGTTGTCTCAACCAGAGGCAAGAGGGCTGGCCTTTAGCACCCCCATATCAGACAGCCCCTGACTGTGGGCTGCACGTGGGGGGAGTAGCAGTCCCCCTTACCACCCCCACCCCCACATCTCCAGAGAAGGGGACACTCATGAGCACAAGGCATTCTCCAGAGAAGGGGCAGGTGAGAGCCACTGGCCGCCAACACAGAAGCAGGAAGTAGGTGAGCATGCCGGCCCAGAAAAGGGGATGTGGTCTGGTGGGGGCGCTTGCAGTGGCTCCTGAAGAGGCCAGCAGCCCTATATAGCTGGGGGGGAGCAGTGCTGAGCCCCATCACTAGTCTTATTTTTGTTTAGCAAACACTTATCTATCATCTTCAGTGTGCCAGGCACTGTTGTAAGATCTGTACACATTGAAATCTTCACAACAGCCTATAAAACAGGTACTGTTTTACCACCACTCGGGACCACAGTCTCAGGGACCCCCCTCGCCCCTGCCAGTCACCCACATCCATCTTGTGGCCCAGCACCCCCAGCTCTCACTGACTCCGCCTGGCAAATCCTCCTTCCCGCTCTTAATTGATTCTTAATCTGCAGCCTTGGGGCAGCGCTGCTGAGAAGGCAGGTGGAAATCATTTCCTTCAGGGCCAGCGCTGCTTAGGGCATCTGAGTGGGAGCCCCCGCCACAATTTTTTTTTTGGCAGTCCTGGTCCTGCAGCCCCTGCCAAGCTGGGTCCCACTCCCACTCTGTTCCCCTACTTACTCTCCTGGCCCCAGGGGCTTTGGGGGAGGATGTGGCAAAAAGAACCCTTCCCCCAAGCAAGGACCAGAGCTTTCTGGGGATACTGGGGGAGACTTCTGGCACCCATCCAGGCCTGCTTGTCCCCCAGGTCCAGAGGTGCTCAACGGGGTGATTCTGCCCCCCAGGAGCAATTTGGCAATCACGGAGCCATATTCGGTTGTCACAACTCAAGGTGGGGGGGCTACTGGCATCTAATGGGTGGGAGCCAGGGATGCTGCTCGACACCCTACAGAGCAAGGGACAGTCTGGCCCCAACTGTCAGCGATTCCGAGGGTGAGACTCTACTTCCAGACTCCGGGTACAGCCTTCTCACTGGGATGCAGCAGGGTGGGGGGCCAACACGGCACCAGAGACATTTTGGAGGTCCCCCTGTTGCCTCCAATGTCAGCCGCAGGGAGCCGCGGGGGGCCGCGGAGGGAGGGTGGGTTTTCAGGGTCCCGTTCCCCTTTCCTCATCTGTCAGCAGAGGGCGGGGAAGAATCTGCGCGTGGAAAGAGTCCCACAGCCCCGGTCTCCCCCGTCTCCTTCCACCTCCCTGGTCCCCGGACCTCCAGGGGTGCAGAGGACTCCACAGTGCCGGGCCTCCCCACCCTCCTGGGAGGGGGGAGGTGATGGAGATGGGGGATGAGGCAGACACAGACCCCAGTAGCTCAAGTGTGAAGTCAAAGTGCAAGAGTTAAAAGAAGGGAATAGGAGATTGGGAGGACGGAAGAAGTAAGACCCGGGGAGAAGGTATGGATTTAGGGAAGGAGAGGTGGCAAGAAGGGAGGGAGCCTTGTGGGTCGTTCCAGAGGGGCTGAGGCTCAGGGTCCCTGGACGTCCTGAGCAGGCAAGTCACTTCGTCCCCCAAACACACCATCACACACCCAGTCACATATGCACACACACTCACGCTCATAGTCACACACTCACACCCCCTCACGTTTCCATGCAGTCCCACATTCTCACACATCGACACACTCACATGCATTACACACACAGTGACACCCTCACACACTTCTAATTCTCACAGTCACACATTATCACAATTTAGACATTCACACATACACACTCACACAGTCACACAAATCCACAATCACACCCTCACACAAATTCTCATGCATCCTCACACACATTCACACACTTACACCCTCAAATTCTCACAGTCGCATAGTCTCACAGCTCTGCGCTCACACACATCCACACACAATCACACACCCTCAAATTCTCACACCACCTAGTACAGGCAGGGATTTTTATCCCATTCACATGGGTGCCCAGAACCGGGTCAGACACACAGGAGGTCCTTGGCCAAATATGCCAAAACTCACACAGCCTCCAGTTCTCACACATCACCCTTTCACACACATTCACCCCATTTCTCGCAGTCCCACGTTCCCACACTCTCACGCCATCGTACCCAGTCACGACCCTCTCACACGCTCAGCATCCTCACACGCGCACGCATGGGCTCTGCAAACACCCGCGGTTCCCCCTGCCTGGGCCCCCCCACCCCGCTCCGCCAAAGCCACCCTAAGACTCTGTAAATGTCACCGGCTGCGCTGCTCTGGCCCAGGCAGAAGTAGGCCGGGGGAGGCCTGGGTGGGAGGGGAACAGTGAGCCGGGCCCTGGCCCCCTCAGCTCCCCACAAGCTTGATGATGCCCAGATCCCTCTGCTTTAGGACCCGGCAGATTTAGAGAGCGAGCCACCCTTCTGGAGCCAGAACCCACCAACTTCAGCACCCTGTGGGCCTCGGGGGTGTGACGGAGCTGGGAGAGGCTGGAAGGAGGACCAGTCCTGCGGATGGAGTGATGAGGACGACTGAGGTCCTTTGTCACTGTTCACTCACAGATTCATTTTGCATATTTGATTGAGCATCTCTAGTGTCCGACCCCGTTCTGGACTCTGGGGGCACTCAGGTGAACGAGGTAAAAATCCCCGCCAAGTGGGGCTGACATCCCGGAGAGACAGACATTGCACAAACACGTGTGAGTCTGTGAGGTCGCCATAAGGGATATTAAAGAAAAATAAAGCCAGAATGGGATGTGATGGAGGGAAGTAGGCTAAGATCCGAGTGAGGAGAAGTGAGGAAGAGCCACAGGCAGGAGGGACAGCACAGACAGCGGCCAAGAGGCAGGTGTTCAGGTGGCCACAGGGAAGCCCATGTGTCTGGGGCCAGAAGGAGGGACGTGTCGGAGGAGGCCCGGGCAAGGCTGAAGGGGGGTAGCGGGGGTGGGCAGGGGGGTGAGGATGGATCTGGGGGAGGGGCACAGCCTGGAGTCAGCCCTTAATTCTAAGTGAGCTGGGTCTGTGGAGGGTTCTAGAAACAGGGGCTTCCTGGGGCTGCTGTAACAAATGACCACAAACCACGTGGCTTAAAACAACAGAAATGTATCCGCTGGCAGTTCTGAAGGCCAGAAGTCCAAGATCAAGGTGTGGGCAGGGCCGTACTGCCTCTTCCAGGTCCCGGTGGCTGCAGGAGCCCCTTGGCTTGTAGCCACGTCACTCTAGTCTCTGCCTGCGACCTCACCCCGCCTCTTCCTCTCCATGTCTCTCTGTGTCCAAAGATCCCTCTCGCTTTCCTATTCAAGACACAAGTCCTTGGATGCAGGGCCCCTTGTTTAAGGATCTCATCTCCAGATCCCTAACCAATTTCATCTGCAAAGACTATTTCCAAATAAGGTCCCATTCTGAGGTCCCCATATGATAGGAATTTTGGGAGGGAGGGAAACTGTATTCAATCTGATACACTGGGGTTGAAAGAGTGGGGTCCCATTCTCAGGTTGGGTGCACCCCTGGGGGGGGTCTCCCTCTCTGATGGTCTCCTTCTACCCAATCTGGATTCCCCGCCTGGGGGCCCTGTCCCCTGAGGCCCCAACCTAGATCATACCCAGCCTGGCAGGATTCAGCCCCGTGGTTCCTTTTGCTTTCAATGCTGGACGCCTTCTGAGTGGGCTGCACCCCATCCCACAGCCCCCACCAGGAAGGACCAGGGGCACTTCAATCCTGTTCTCCACCCCAGAGACTTTGCTGGAAAAACAGCTAATTATACCCTTCCCGCACAGCCGGTCTGGTGGGGCTAGGGTGGTGTTGGGCGAGTGTGCCCTGTGTCCGCAGCCGGCGGCCCCCGCGCCAACACACAGAGATTTCTATATATTTTTAATTCCACAGCAATACTTTGATTAGAGAGCCGATGTGTTGTGTATGACCTCGGGGACCTCATTATTTTTCTAACTCAAATAAATACGGCGTTCGGAAAGCAGGGAGGGTGGAGGGAGGTAGAGGAAAGGAAAGACTCGGGAAACCTCATCTATAAAAAGGATTCAGGCCTTAATGAGCTTTTAAAATTTGCCAGCCCCCCTCCCCACTCACTGATCTATAAACAGAAGATGCGGCTTATGGCTTCAGCTGTGGGATTTACGGGTGCAGGGTGGGCACAGCAGGGGATGGGGCTCAGCTGGGTATCTAAGATTTTGGAGGGGTTCCCAGCTGCTGGGAGGATGGAAGTGGCCCAGTCCGACGTCAGTGGGAATCACCCTGTTTGGGCACCCAGCTTTACCAGAGTGCTGATCTGAGAAAGTTCTAGAATTTCCTGATCCCTTGGGCCCACTTGGGCTGGACCCTCACTGGTATGAGGAGGAACAAGGGAGAGGTGGCATTGTATCATTCTTGTGTGTCAGGAAATCCCTCTCCAAAGCCTCCTCCAGGAGAGGCTGGGGTGAGCAGATGGGGAAATCGAGGCAGGGCAAAGCGAGGAAGGCTGGACCATGGTTGTGTACTTGGTACCCTTCCTAATCCACTCTCAAGCTTGGACAGACAAGCCTTGGGTCAGCACAGTGGCTATTGGGGAGAGGGGCTACCACCAGCCTAAGAAGCCCCTTCAGTGGTTGTGATATTGGGGTGGATGGAGTGAGACAGTGACCATGTAGACCCCAAAAGTGCAGGGTAACCTTCAAGTCACTGCCATATGTGTCCTTTCCAACAGGAACAAAGAGGCTTCCCAGAGCAGGCAGCAAAGCCAATCTCGGGTGAAAGATGAGTTCTTTGGGTGGAAATGAGCTTGGATCTGGCACTTTTCTGTGTGATAAAAATTTCAGGGAGCAGGACAGACCCAGGGCATCTGGACAAGGGCTTTGAGAAGGACCCGGGTGTGGGCAGAGGAGGGGAAAGGGTTCAAAAAAAAAAAAAAGATTCAGGGCATGCAAAGACATGTGTGGCTGATGGGGGAGGTGTGGGACGCAGGAAGATGCAGGGCAGGTGGGGTGGAGCTACATAAAGGGCAGAAAAAGATGCTCAGTCTAAACTAGTAGCCTCTTATATATCCAGAGGAAGCTAATTCAAAAAGATACATGCACCCCAATGTTCATAGCAGCACTATTTACAATAGCCAAGACATGGAAGCAACATAAATGTCCATCAACAGATGATTGGATAAAGAAGTTG